ATAATTAGCAGAAGTTATTCAAGGTAGCCCAGGGAGCACAATAATATTCGCGCGAAGGTCTCGACGATGATTTCGCGGGGCGTTGGTTTACGGGCCATCAAGATCGCATTACCAGTCACTTTTTTCCTACCCCCTCCCCTCCCGTTTCGATCGGATAAGCGGTAGTTTCTAGCCGCGTGACGTCTTAATTGCGCGAGGCCGTTAGTTGACATTCCGCTAATTACCCGGGGACGGAAGCAGTCGCGGAAAGGGCACGGGCAAGATTACGCGGTCGGCCTTAAAAAGTTATCATCCGGGAACCGCTGACGCTTTTAATATCGTGTCCCTCCTACGTTTCGCGGAACGCATTTACGGCTCCCGGCCCCATTATGTGTCTGCGTGTATTAACCTGCGGACGGTTACGCTGAAATAATACGCATCCCAGTGGCGTTTCAACGCGACGGTCCCCTCGTAAAAAAATACCCCATTATACGATCGTACGATTTGCATGCCCGCGAACCGGTACGAACGAGCCAGCGTTCACGGGAAATTAAATACGCATACCGAACAGAAAGATTATGCGTTTTATATAATACGTACGTTGAAACGTGTATGCTGTGTAACGTGTTTCATATTAACTCTCTATAACAGGAGTTCTCAACTTGGGGCCATATGGCCCTCAGGGGGCCCAGGATATGCCGAGGCACAGATGAACAAACGTGAAGTAACGTGAAACTAACAACAACAACAACAAGAACTATTAACCACTGAACACAAGTTAACAATGATATCATAATTGTGAAAGATTTTATTATCACTCCGATATCTCAAGCTAGAGTCGATAATCGCTACGAAGAATCATGTCGGTTGCCGAAGAGAGGTTATATAAAATGCGATGTCACGGCAGATAGCGGAAAAAAATGAAGTGGGACCAAAAATATATACCAAAGATATATAGTAAATCATCGATGAGTGTTCTTCGGTCAAGTGTCCAGTGGTGGCGATGACATCTGAGAGTCGAGGAGCCTTCGAACACTCATTGACGATTTACTGTACATCGGCATGTAATTTGTGGGTTACCTTGGATCAGAGTGTATCGGATTCCGAAACACCTGTGAGCTCCAAGCTTTTTAGAATCCCCGATGGACGTTATCGAAGTCGAACGTGTCGAGAGTAGGGTACGTCGATATGCTGGCTACGATTTCGAGAATCGACAGCTTAATCAGGAGGAAAGAGCGAATCGACAGCGGTGGACGGGCGTCGGAGCTCCCATAAGTATTTTTAGAACTTCAGTTTTAATCAATTTCATCGTAAAGTTGCTTCACCCTCCAGGCGAACATCGTCGGGGGAACTTGCCAACAAGTCTTCTTTCGATTCGGACCCAATGCGGACCGTAACTTCTCGGTCGAAGCGTACTTATACCTCGGTCGAGGCGTTTTGTTCTCCAATTTCTTTCGCACGCAAATTCAATCCAACCGGAATCCCGTCCCGTTTAGAGGTTCTTAAGCAACGTCGTTAACGATCATCCGATTGCCCAGGAGTTTCGTTTCCGGGCGAACGGGTGGGTACACGCGGAAAAATCCAGAACGACTTTCAAACGGTTTTAAAACTTTCTGCCCGGTTGGATGGGAACGTTTCGTTCGTTCTTTTTCCGACGTTCTGCGCGTGCGCACGTGCGCTTAAAGAGTTTCTTTCTGTTTCT